GCAAAGTTTGAAGACCTTTCACGATATAAAAGCCCAACTCATCCAAAATACACCAAATAATACAGTGTTTAACTACAAGGACGCTGTTCATGGATTGTATCTCTGTGTTAAACACCATCCTTCCCCAGAGTTTGGATCTGCTGGGTGGAACTGGATGGATCCTTTATTTCTTTACCTCAGGCGGTTCGGACACTGGACAATAATCTCTTAATGTTGAAAAGACAACAACCTTTTAAAAAAAAAAATAAAAAAAATAACCAATACTCATTTCCCACTTCTAATCAATGAATTTGCGGCAGAGATGGTTCATCATCATATCACAAGTAATCTAAGGATCATTCATACCTCTATAGTCATAAAAGTACAACACCGTCTCCATTTCCGCTGCATGAAGAAAGCATGGCTCCCCATTGTCATCACTTTCTCCAGGGGCACCATAGACAGTGTCCTGACACGTTGCATTACGGCTTGGTATGGCAACTGCAACAGCTGGAAACAACATGTAGCGTCCATGACATGTACACAACTTTCTGCTAACAATTTGGCAATGCAATGTGTCACCATGCAGTAGTAGAAAGCCCATTTCTCAGACCGCCTGTTATTTCGAAAACAAACTCCCACAGCTTTGAAAATATCAGCCTGGTATAAGTTCCTTAAGGTATTTAGCTTACTTACAGATGTAACTTAACTGATGTAAAAAAAACTTACTTATTTTAACCCAAACCATGATCTTTTCCAAAACCTAACCAAGAATTTTTTGTTGCCTAAACCTAACTGCAACCTTTTCACAGCCTTTCACATACCTACACGCTATACATATACATGGATAATATGTTTCACATATTCAAAGTTATGCCTATGTTACCGCTATTTCCTCTACACTCTTACCTTTGTCGTGTGTGTTTGTCAGCGTGAGGGTTACCAGAGCTGATGGATCAAGGCTGCCAGGAAAATGAGTACAAGGATGTCTTACTTAAAAAATGTGTGTCCTGCAAACCGCAATGCAAGGAATCATATGTCATCCCAAGATGCACCTTTTACTGTGGTAAGTGTCACACACACACACACACACACACACACACACACACACACACACACACAGAGAGAAAGAGAGAGACACACACACATTAGGTTAGAGGTATAGGAATACATATTATGCAAGGTTGTTATATGTCCATCTTAACCTGCAATCTTGTTCTACATGTTTGTCCATCTGATTACGCTACATGGACTGAGATCAAAACCTGGGTAAATTATGCACTAAACAAAGCTCTAGCAGTTTCTAATTGTCCTGATAGTCCTAAAAGAAGGTGCAATAGTTGCAAGGGGGACACTTTTGTTACCAGTTGGATCAGAGGCAACATTTACGTGGGACAAATTCAATTGGATTTTTTTCATCCTTTTTTTAAAATAAAAAACTAATCTAGCTTGAAAAACGTGCTGCCTTTGCAATAAAGGATGCCTTAAATAAAGATGTAATATGTATTTCAGGCATTATTTCTACCTGCATAGCAAAAGAAAAGAAACAGCTGATTAGCATTGGTAACACCAGATTTGTCCTCAAGACCATGAATATAATGCCAAGTAGACATAAGTGAATTAAATTTATCATGTCTCTCCGGATTGCTTTCCAACTATGTGTCCTTCTGCATTAGAGATTTCAAATTGTAAGGAACTGGATGGCCACTACCATGATGGGCTGCTGAAGAAATGTCTGAGTTGTGCTGAGGTTTGTGGAAGACATCCACCAGAATGCTCCAAACACTGCCAGAGTGAGTACTGACCCTGAATTAAAGCTTTAATTATTCAGTGACATAGTTTTCAGTTACTTCTGTGTTTTTTGGAGGCATAAATGTTGAGTTAGACCTCAGTGGACAATGTTTTCAGAGCACGAGTTGGCTAACTATAAAAGTTTAATGATAAAGATGGAACTTGTCAAACTACAAAAAAATACCAATCGCAGTGACTTCTTCAGAGGGCTGGCAGCTAACTTACCTAAACACAGTAGCCATAGCTAGAAGGCATATCTAGAGAATGCCTACTTCTGTGTGGATATACACACTTGGTGGTTGTACTTTGGTGGAGAATGTGGGTAGTTTGGGATGCCCAGAAAGTCTAATGTAGGCGTAAGGGCAGTGACCCAAAAGGCTAACAATTTTCATTTGGCCAGGGACCTTTGTTGCACGGCACTCCATATCTTTTTCTCTTCTAATTACCCGTCATCTCTTTACAATCGGCTGCCCAATAAAAAGAACAAAATGCCAAAAATACATATGTGGGTGGTTCTCAATGAAAATGGTTTGCAGCAGATAGAGATATTGCTGTTGAGTTTCACAGATGTAAAATGCTTGGACCCAACAACATTCTGCTTCAGGATATGTTTGTAATATAAACAGAACCAGACCTTTAAGAGGTTAGTGGTAGTCGGATGGAAAATCCCTTGGTATCACGAAGCAGTCAGTCAAAAGCAAAAGCTGTTTGGTCTTTAAAGCCTTTCCCCCCTCCATCACAGACATCCCCTCAGCTTCGCCACCTCCCGTGATCACTAAAAAGCTCCTGGTTGTTACCTCGCACGTGCCAAATCCCAGAGGGCCCTCGGTGCTGTTAGCCCCCGATGACCCCACTATTCTGCTGTACTCCCTGCTGGCCCTGTGCATGGTGCTGCTGTTCTCTAGCTTGTTTCTAGCCTTTGTCGTCATTCTGAGGGGACCCTGGGCAAAAACCTCCAAGCAAACACCCAAGGAGGCTGACCACAAGCAGGAGAGCATGATCCAGCCAGGCCAGGAGGTTGGCCAGCCAGGTTCCCAGCCGGGGCAGAGACCCCAAGGTTAGTGTGGTTCGGATACAAACCAAAGGCCCCAAGCCTGCAATCGGTGCAATCAATAAGTGGTTTAGCTGGAATAATCTGTTTGGTCAAGTAGTAAAATGATTCCCCTACAGACAGATCTTCTTTCAGTTTGATGTATATTTTACTCCAATGTGTGCACTACTCTCTGTCTTTCTACAGATTTCGTAACAAATTCAAGCTGTCCCACTGACCGTGAGCCATCGGATGACTCCAGCCCTACTGAGACCTGCGTGTGTGTCCACTGTTTCCCTGATCTGAAAGCACTAGGCCAGGGCAGTGACAGGCCACCAACAGCACCATATTCATACTACCCTCAGGTTGTCCTCCACAGAGCCCAGACCCAAAACGGAGGGCCTCTCTGGACTGACGAGAACTTATACACCTCTGGACCTGAGGTGCAGGAGGAGGCTAATTTGCACACAGGGCGGCTGGAATGACTGAATGTGTCCCCAGCTCATAGGAGATTGTCAGTGTACTAGACTTTCAATCAGACTGTCGATACTCTCACAGCATGCAGCGTTTTTTTTGGGGGGGATTGTGAAAATAAAACAACTTGTGTTAAAAGGGATGAATGCTCATGTATGACCCTGTCAACCCCTCAACAAGCAGAAACAGCGGGAATGCATCAGCAAGAATTTGTATTAAAAATGCCTCTCATGCTAAAAGAAACACAAAAGTAAACAAGTGAAGGATGTCTTTCCATTAGAAATATTTCAAAAGCTGTTGTGTGGTTGATTCATATTAAATGTGACAAACTCATTTATATTTTACTCTCTGATGAAGGCATGCTGAGAAAAATGTGGATTTTTGTGCCAAAAGGCAGTAAAAAGCATTCATAGTATCACTGAAAATAGGGCAATGAGTTGACTTATGATCAAGGTTTTTTGTAGCTTGAAAGACAGCAATGTGCCCCGACACATCAATCCGACAAAAATTAACAGATGCATTGCCTCATGACTTCAAAAGTTTCACTTGAACACATCGCAAAGGCTACAACTGCCTTTTATAAAACATCTATGCCTGGTCCAGTTTAATTAAAAAGAACAGGAAACATCAGGGTACAAATCAGACAACTAGTTGGATGACACTGTGGATCTCATTAAATTATCTTGCCAAATTCTTATTGAGAATAGAAACTGGAAGCATGTCTGATACAAAGTTGCTACTGACACTGTATAGTTTTGCTTTTTAGCCCATGATCCTTTCATGAAACAACAAGGACATGGTGGAGGTGAAAACCAAGGAGGGAATGGGTGAAGTCATTGCTTCACTGAACCGAACACTGACTTCCTCTGACTCAACAAACCAAACGGCTGTGACAAGGACTGACTGGTGCCAGTGGTTGCACATTCGAAAACTACAAGTTATGGTTACCCACATAAGCTCAACGATGACCAGCAACCGACTGCTAAACGTGAGATTGCATTTCCATAAGGCATCATTTCGGAGAACTATTTATTGACAGGAATACTGTGTCTGAACATGTTCATTGCAATTGAGCATACTATCGGAGAGTTTTCTTTAGGTAGTAGGCAGTGCTGGAGTACAAATCTAAGGAGACAGCAGTTAAGGTGACAAGACAAGTTACTCTAAACTTTAGAGTAACTTGTCTTGTCACCATCATTACTTTAGAGTCTAAAGTAATTCATTGGTCATTTTTTATACCACCACTGGGAGTCGCCAAAGTCAGAAGTGTTCAAGTTCCACTGATTCCTCTGTAAGGGCTTCATGTTTATAACAACCAAATTACAGGGCAGAGGCATGAGCTCATTTGGGGCATTTACTATCTGCAGACATGTATATGTGCAAGTAGTGGTACAAATATGTAAAGTGTGTAAGGTGAGCGTTATGTATATATTTGTGGGGTGATGGTTTATATAATGATTCTTCATCTGATCTCTTTGTACCTACTTTTCTCCCAATAAGGACAAATAAAAAAATATACATTTTGAGAGAAGCTGTGTCCGTAGTGAATTGAATCCTTCTTCTGTTCCGTTTGACCAGTGAGAGTTGAAAACAGCATGAAGTACTGTTGTTATGGTTACCTGCAGTTGGATAACCCTCAAACTAATCTGTAGATATTCTTCAGTCATTAATAACATTCACAAAATAATCTCATAACCAAGGGCAATCAATAACAAGCAGAAAAGTGTTTACAGATATAGATTTTTCTTTATTTGAGTGTCTTTTCAATCACTGTGTCCAGTTCTTGCAGCAGTTAAATGTGTGTGCGAGGAATGACTGACCGGGTCAAGACAAGTTTCTTCTGATTACGACCCCGTGTCCGGATCCAGCAATATAGAAGAACAAAATCAACTTTTGAGGTTTCACCATTTGTCTCTCAAAATACAAACTGTACATATATACTTTTACATACATCATCAACATGTGGAAAAAAATCCTATCAAACTGTGATACCCAGCTCAGACGGCATGCTGAATGCAAGTACTGATTCAGTACACGAACATACGCTACATACGCACGCGCACGACACACGTGCATACAAACGAGAACACATACGCACTTTTGTTTTTTGTCTCTTTACACACAATAACAGATTTTACACAAACACACCTACACTGAGCTTTTTTTTTTCCTCCTCTCCCCATTGTTGGGCACATACACGTGCACACACACGCACACACACACACACACACAAACACACTGATTTAGAGCGACATGCGGCCAACGGTTAACACTGTAGAATCGAGCTTCTGACCCATTATACACACTCCGTACGGAGACTTACGGTCTCCTCTTTTGTTTCATTTCTTTTTTTTTGCCATTTACCTGAAACAGCATCACAACAACATATCTTGAACGTGGAGATAAATGCTTCTGTAACGCCAAAAAATGTGACCAAATTAAAGTTAAATGACTTACTAAAAATTGAGCCGCCATAGCAGCAGTTTCAAGAACGTAATAAGCACTATTTTGCTTTTGTGTACAAAAAACATGACTGACGACACAATGCAACACAGACGAACAATGTGAGAGTTTAGGGAGAATGAAAAACTGTAAACAAACTTTTTAATTACAGTATGTATAAAAATATAATATTCACTGTGTAATTTATTTCCCCCCCTGTGACTGTTGGAAGCAGCATGAGAGGCAGAAAATAACAGATCCTTTGCGTCCTTGTTCAAGAAAAGGTTTCCTAAAAGTATCTGACTGACACCTACAAACTCACGAGTAATAAATGGAATTAACTGTCTTTTTCTATACGATGTTCATAATACCATTTGTCAGGTGATTTCTTCCCCCCACTCTTTGCATTCTGAACAAAAGTGCATAATAAAGACAACGTCCATCCTTGAAGCATTTGGTCGTTTGGAGGACTGTGAGTGTGTCAGACAAGTGTGCTTGTGTCCAAAAAGTTGCCAGTTTAGGAAAAACTAATTAAAAAAAAATTTTAAAAAATCACTTTCTTCGCTAAAGCAGAGCCTTGAACCCCCGAGTTCCACTTCTTAGCGCCTTTAGGTGATCGTAAATGCAGCTGTGCGAGCATGACACAGGACGTTGATGTAGAACAGGATTTGTGATCAAGTGTACCTTCCCCAGATAAACTAAGGTTTTAAAAACAACTCCTGCTCTTTTGTCTGTGTCTGAAAGAGAGAAAAAGTGGGGATGGGACACTATTCCTCTATTGTCAGACACCAAGTACAGACTGATTTTGCAGTCATTTCGTTCTTATAGAAGATTATCACAGCTGCTTTCTTCTTCATCCCCACAAATTTAAGTGAATAACTTTTGCAGGTGTGCAATATTCCTCCAGGGCTCACAAATTTCTTAAATTTTGTTTGGTTCTGACGCTTTCTGCACTATGCTGCATGGCCGAAGGCTCTTCCTTGAATGTCTTACGGTGGAGCTGGATTAGTATGTAGTAAGGGTGGTTCCATGTTAGAGAGTTGCGACCTAAAGAGTGAATCAGGTAGGCTTGTGTTTCTGTTTCCACGCCTCTCTCATCACTCCGTTACCTTTTCTCATGCAACTACTGTAATCCTTGCCTCATCCCTCGACTCCTGCAGGCGGTGCCGGTGGAGGGAACTACTCGTACTCCAGGAACTGTTTGTGGTAGAACAAAAGGTACCTGGGGAGATAAAGGCAACATGAGGTCAGATTGCAGCAGCACTAATAAAGGGAGCGGTCGCTGTCAAACGGCTATGGAGACACAAACTGTATTTAGTTACATTTGACACATCTAACCAACAGCAGTTGAGGTGCTATGCTCAACACTATGAGTGGCTCACCCTTCACTATCCAGGACGTCCTTGATGCTAGCCTTGGTGATGATGGCATCGTCGCATTTAAACCACTGGTCTTTGTGCTGGCGGATGAAGGTGGTGTAATGGCCGCTCTCTAGTGTCCCCTGGTGGTTCACCACTGCAAATAGGCTATACCTGAAACACAAGAGAGAGAGAAGAGGAGGCTTAACGCTGCACCAAGGCTGTGGCTCAGAGGCAGAGCGGGTCGTTCCTAAATCGGAAGGTTGTGGGTTCGATCCCCAGCCCCTGGTGCCACATGTCGAAGTATCCTTCAGCAAGATACTGAACCCCAAATTTATGCTGCAACTACAAACAGCTGACACCATTGGGAAAATGAGTGAATAAATAAAGCAAAAAAACACTATATTTTACAATACAGACAGTAAAGATTAACATCAAGTCTGTGGTGAATTCTCTCCAGTGAAAGGAATGAAGACTGGTCACACTGAATACCTTTTTCATTATGCAAGATCCATTCTGTCAGGTCCGTTGTCAGGGGGGTCAATAACACAACTATAAAGAGATACTGCACGCAGTAGCTTTAAACTGAATTATGACTATACTGTGATGAAACACATAAATGTTACCAAATTTACCAACACACATACTAGGGGTTAGTCTCTCTGAGCCGTTAGCTCAGCTACAACACAGGTACCACACAGAAACTTTTACCAACGGCAGTCAAAGTGCTCCTAGTGACTGTAAAACCTCCAGCGGACTGTGTTTCCAGCGCGGACACGGAGAGTCTGACAGCAGCTGCCCAACAGCTTGCTGTTATGCTGTCTGTCAATCACTGTGGTCAGTGTCGAGGCCACGCCCCCTAAAGTCACTGTCCTTTGCACATGTTTTATTTTTATTTATAATTATTAATTTGCTGAGAGGGAGGGAGCCAGCAGAAGTGAATGGTGTAGTTACACTTACTGGTGACAGAGTGATAAGTTGGTTCCTTTTGGAATATTTGTACCCAGTGCTGGTTCAGATGGTTTATTTATATATTTACTGGTTTATACAGAAGGATGTTTGCCTTACTTGTTGTCATTGTTGAAGGGGTCTACGGTCTGCTGGTACTGCCCGTTCATCCGGCTTTCTTTACTGAAACACACAGCAGGACAACACTGAGTCACAACATCACCAACTTTTAGCAAGTTTTTTGTTTTGTTTTTGCTCTAAAATCCAACTGTTTTGTGCTCCATGTCTTTCTTTTAATTCCTGTAGTTTTACATTATTTTTATACATTATTCGTATGCACCTGGAGGCCATGAAGGGGGTCATGTCCAGCTCCAACGGGAAGGAGACGTAAGTTGTGATCTTCCGTCGCAGTTTGGCTGAATGTTCAAACCTCTGGAAACAAACAAAGAAACGCGTGTTACAACACAGTCAAATCATCTCTCTCTCACTCTCACACACAAACACACACACACTCACACACACACACACACTCTTACTTTGAGGTGAAAGCAGGCCACGATGGGCAGCTTTTTCATGGTCAGCTGCTTGGTGGACTCCTGGTAACTATGGCAACCGCTGCACTTGATCTTAGCACTGCTGCCGAGGTGCTCTGGCCTGGTGAACCTAGACAGGAGAGGATGCGGTTTAGTACCAGTGCAGTTGTGTCTATGTGTGGTTTTATCCCTGAATCTCCGCTCCAGTGGATTTGGGAACAGGAATTAGTGTTCAGGGAACCGTGAATATGTGCAGTGTTTCCTCTAGGATTTTATTTAGCAGTGGGGGCAGGCCTGTCCGAACAACCCCCCCGTTACGTCCCACCGGCAAACGTTTTACGTATGAAACAGAAGTGACACAAACAAATATATTTACCGTTTTAATGTTTCCAGATGTTTGATATCAGGACGTTGAGCTGAGAACTGACAAGTTGAACGTTGTCCAATTAAAACGGACCCACCGTGGTGACGTTTTTGGTGGAGCTGTTAGTTTAATAGTCGACTTGGAAGAAAGTGAACATTTTGACAATAAGCTACATCAACACAACAGTATGTGGAGTTAAACTGGACAGCCCGAATAACCTCTGAATAGTTCTACTTGTTGTTAAATTGCAATGTGAGCGGCAGCCAACGGGGGTGCATTATGTCGGCAGGATCATTTAAAAGGCAACCGTGACTACATTGTGCGTCTGCCCCATTTCTGATACTGTGGCGGCAGAAATTTAACAGCGGTGGGCCGCCGCTCCAAAATCGACATAGAGGAAACACTGGTGTGTGTGTATTTAACCGTGTGTGTCACTTGCTCTCTAAAGGGCTGTGGTGTGCTGATTCTGGGATTGTTCGTGTCTCTGAATTTGTCAGTGCATGCATGCGAAAACAAAAAGCTGCACTGTTTACTTCCAGTGTGGAACTCTGTGGCAGAGAGAAAGAAGATTTGATACGCTAAAGAGAGAATTTATCAAAAAATAATGTAAGAAATGTCAGTTACCTGCGCAGACAGTCTGTGAGTGTTGTGGCTCCAGTGGTGTGACTCTCTCCGTTAAGTGCTGATCCGTCTCCCCCGGGACTGAGGGGCCAGAATGGGGTGGAGGAGCCTGGCAGGTCCAGGCTGATGTCCCAGAATGGGTCTATGGTCGTCGAAACACCGCTAGGAGCAAGACAGAGAGACACACAGGAGATGGTGAGTCTGTCGGAGAGGGTGAAGATGCTGTAGATATCTAATGTAGATTGAAGGAGTTGCTGTGTGTAGATTTGTACATCTTCCAGTCTGTTACCCACTTCACAGGAGGCACAGTAAGACACTGCACTTTGTAGTTTTCCTTTATTCAGACAGACATATAAGTGAGAGGGAGACAAAAGAGGGAGAGAATAAAAAATCTGGCATCAACTCCATCTTGGCACCGTGGCTCAGACCCTTTCCACTCCTAATGTTGGCAGCTCGTTCATCTGGGCGATAGAGATAATTCTACTGCTGAACATCATTCAGCTTAGTGCTGGCAGTTAAGGATATAAAACTAATTACATTGGCCGATAGCATTCGCGACCTGAGAACATTTGGGTGGAGACCATCTTTTCTAAAGAAACTGCCTCCGTTAGCATCCAGCTTTCCTTTAATATGCTTTTCTTGTGCAGGGTTTGCAGGGGGTTGGAGCCTGTTCCAGCCCACACTGGGCGAGAGGTGGGGTGCATGCTGGGCGAGTTGCCGGTCTGTCACGGGGCTAACACACAAAGACATTAACTCCCACATTCACACCAACAGGCAAAGTCTCCAAATAACCTATCCTGCATGTGGGAGGACACCGGAGCAGATGAAAGCCACACAGGTACGAGGCGAACCTCACAGTCCACACAGAATCCACATCTTGCAGGGGGACTCAAATCCATGACCTTCTTGCTTGTGATCTTTGTTATCCATTGAGCCACCACCCTAGACCCCCCAGATATTGTTCCGTAAAATTGTTCCAAGTTCACATATTACCGAGGTGCTGGCTTTTTAACCATGGTTCTGAAAAACTCTGTATAACAAGTTTTTGTTTTTAAACTTCCAGATGAATCCTTTTACATGTAGAGGACCAAGTGAAGGTAAAGTCAGAGATGCAAGTTAGTGTGTTATGTGTTAGTAGCTTCAACTCCTTACGCCCCAACATGAACAGTAATTAAATATGATGGTTGTTTAAAATGTTTGACATCCAGAACTTCTTCATTTGGGGAAAAAAGATCAGCTAGCTCCACGCCTGCCACAAAATGTAGAGTGTGATTTCATTTCATGGCTTATAGACTGAGGACTTCAGTTGGCTTTAACCAGACGACCAAAATTGGGTGGCTTAACACTGCTATTATCCATTTTCTTTGGTCAAAAGTAAAGGATGAGTTGGCACCATGTTAGGCTTACATTACATTTTAAATGGAGAATGTAAAGTGAATAAATCAGAAATCAGCAAAAGCCTGGTTCGCTTAAAGGTGGTCTGCCTAATCATTCTGGCTGAATTTGGAAAAAGAAACACTGGACGAAAAGATATATGTTTTAGGTACAGAAAATGTCGCACTTTTTACTCTCCATTGCCTCTATTAGAGTTCTAAAAGTCTTATTTTCTTAAAACAAATGACACCTGTTTTAACAGAGGGGCCAGGTTTCATGAATTATTTTAGATATTTATTTATAGAGCATGTAGTCCCTTATTCGGCCTTCTTTCAAAATTCTCTCACTTGATTGAAGCTAGGAAATAGATGGAAATAATCTTACTGTGTAGATTTCAGAGTAATAAAAAGAGGCTCAATATCTAATCTATAACTTTTTGCATTGCAAATATATTATGATCATATGAAGTAGTTTAAATGAGCTCCACCATAGCCAGCTACAACATTAAAATACAGCTTACAGGTGAATGCACAGATAATAATAATCCAATAATATATTGTGTAATATTAATGCCACGGTGAATGCACAGATAATAATAATCCAATAATATATTGTGTAATATTAATGCCACTGTGCAATAAGCAATAAGTATTTTTACCTCTGATACTGAAGCACATTTTGTGACGCTATTTGCTTACTTTTTAAATGCAGAGCTTTTAACCGTTTTTCATACTGCTTAGAAACGTTAGGATTTATAAAGTGAATCATATGTTTAGCTATAGCTATACCTCCACACACACTGCAGCTGCTTTACATTCCTAAATGTCTCAAATGAAACGTGCATCTCAGAGCACAAAAAGCAGAGCCTTCTTTCTTCTTTGACCACCAGGTGGCGATAGTGATCAGCTTTACAGACCGTGTGCCATGAAAGGGTTTTCCTGTTGCTGCAGTCTAGCGGTTCAGTGTGTGTGTGCGTGTGATTGATGGTGCACTGTGTGGATGATGGAGGCTGGAGGGTAACCTCAGGGCAGGGAAATGGAGAGTTCTGATCCAGGACGGTGAGAAGTGAAGTGTGTCCTTTTGGAGCAGCTGTTTGGTCAGAGCATAGTGTGACATAATGGAACTGTACTGGAAGACAATGCTGTAGTGCACAAGGTCAAGGCTTTGTTCTGTTAGTCTTTACACAGTCTCTAGTGAGGCCTGAAAAGGGGTTTTTGTGTTGTGTTTTTCTTCTGGAAGAACCTCACACACTATCACAAGCACTTACTGGCAGACTTGACAGGTGACGTCAGACTGCAGGCCCCCTGTGAAGATTTGGTCGATGATGCAGTTACAGTGGTTGGGATTGTTGGCTTTCTTCCCGTTGTCGTCTGTGTGGATATAAAAACACACACGCACACGCACAGACACAGACACACACACACACACACACAGACACAGAGAGAGAGTCACTAAAAGCAATGCTGTGTAACTTCACAGCCATCCTCTCTGCTTATAAACTGCAGAGACACAGAGATCAGTGCTGTCTCTCCATCTCTCTGTCAGTCAGTGCTTCTCTCTCTCCTCTTTTCATCCTCTCAACTCCACTCATTTCAACCAGCACCCCCCTCCCCCGTCACACCCACACTCAGCTAAAAGCCTCCTCTCTGTCACTCTTCCAGCTTTTTTTTCTCGCCTCCTTCACATCTGTCTGTCTCAATGTTTGGCATTTTGTTGGTCGCTTTATTGTCTGTGTCCAACCTTTGCAGTGTCTGTGCAGGACGTCCAGCGCTGCGATGAGGAACTCGTGGGCGTCCTGCTGCTCGTAGCCGGCCAGGTGACGGGCGTGGGTCCACACCAGATGGAGGAGACGGAAGGGGATGTGTGGAGACCGATGGCCTGAGTAGAACTGGAGAAGGAAGGCGTGTATGTGAGAGAGGAAACGCTCCCTTATTCTTCTTCTTTTTACTCATTTGAACATTGTTAAAAAAACAAAGAAAAAAACAACACAGGAGAGTTACCTCCTGGAAGAGTTGCGACATCTCGCACACCAAACAGGAGTTGCTCTGCATCTCGCATTTGTGTCGGTCGGACAGGAAGAAGTCGCGCAGCAGCGGGGTGTGCGTCAGCGCCTGGACGATGCAGTTCATGAAGCATGTATTGCCCAGGTTTATCAGACCTCGCAGGCCTGTGGGTTCAAGAGGGGAGGGAAAAGAAATGAGGAGCAGGAAACCAAGAAGAGACAAAGAGAAAGAAATTGGTGGGTGGAGGGGGTGAGGGATGAAGGAGGGTAAAAGGGAGAATAGAGAGAAAGAGCTCTTTTCAGCTCTCCGTCCAGATCATTTTTAGTGGCTGCTGCAGTGGGGCATCGAAGCTGCAATGCTGTTAATGCCAAACAAGACACACACACACACACACACACACACACACACACACACACACACACACACACACACACACACACACACACACACACACACACACACACACACACACACACACACACACACACACACACACACACACACACACACACACACACACACACACACACACACACACACACACACACACACACACACCCCTGAGGCAACGTTGGACTGCACGCAGGGAAACCCTTGTTGGATTACAGCAGAGCAAACCACACACAGCGGGGAGTGGGAGGGGAACAAAAGCAGGATGGAAGGGGGAAGGACAGTAGGAACAGGAAAGAGGACCGAGGAGGAGGAGGAAGGCAGGGTGGAGGTAGTGTTCTCACCGATGAGCAGCCAGGCCTGTAATTTCCCCTCACCTAAGACAGCGCCAGGGATGTTAATGATGCTAGAGCAGATTCCTGCAGGCTGCTACAAGGTGTTAAACGTATGCCAGCTCTCCTCAGTCCCACACACTGCCAAACCCCAACACTGCTTCAGTCTGATATTCCCTGTTGCTTCAAATACATTCTGCCGCTCCTCTCTGAAGACAATAAGTCTGCCCGCTCATATCTTCCTGATGGACCAGCGATCACAGACGATATATGTTTAGTCTGTGATCATGTCATCATACAGGATGTCAATAGCTGCATTTCCACTAGGGACTAGGAAGTAGTTTGGAAGGAGCATTTCCACTGCAGGGGCCAGGTCTAAATTAAGATCCGGGGACATTATTTCACCTACCAGAAAGTCCCTGCTTGGGGGTGGTACTAAAAAATGAAAGGAACTTTGGGGGTAGGGCTTGCGAGTTTGTTTTTTGTTCATTGTGCTTTAACACATCAGCATGGAGTTAAAGAAGAAAGCATACAACAGATAGACAATGACAATGTCCAGGCGTAGACTGTGGTGGAAAACGCAGAGAACAACAGGCTGTAGGAACCTTTTCAACACTTGAAAAGTAGAACTTGTGACTGTCTATCCTCCATGTTATTTTCTACTTATTAAAAGTGCTGTCAGCTAAAGTTTTGTCTAGATGAATTGCTTCCACTCTAGTCTGAAAATTAAAATTTTTCCAAATATGCCCAATTTTGCTTGACAAAATGCAATTTCTCCTTCTACGGTGAAGTTCAGACGATTTTCCACTAAGCCTATAATACGCAAAGCGAGGCCTGTTTATTTGTATACAGCAAGGAAATTCAAAGTGCCTTACATAAGACAATATAAAAACACAACATAAAAAGACATTCAAATAGGATTTAAGAGTAAAATCAAAAAGAAGATAAAAATAAGCTGAAAACAAAACAAGATAAAGACTTTTCTGAGAGCTTTCTGGGAGTTTGTTTCAGGCATTTGGTTCAGAAAAACTGAATGCTGATTCTCTGTGTTAACTTCTGACTCTGGGGCCAGACCTGATCCCAGACCATCTGAGAGGTCTGGATGCTTCATAATGGAGCAGCAGATCAGAAATAAACCATTCAGGGCTTTATAAACCATTAGTAAGATTTAAAAGCGAATTATTTAACAGGAAGTCAGTGTAAATATCAGAACTGGACTGATGTGATCCACTCTCCTGGTCTTAGTGAAGACTCTAGCAGCACTGGTCTGAATCAGCTGCCGCTGTACTCTGATCCACTTTCTAGAGAGACCTGTAATCCTTCATTTCCCCCGGGGATCAATAAAGTATCCATCTATCCATCCATCTATAAAATGTATGTCTGAGTCCATGACTGCACTAAGATCTCTGGTCTGGTTTGTGATCTTTAACACTAGCAACCGAAGCTGAGCACTGACTTTTAATATTTGGCTCCTAAAACTGTGATTTCAGTTTTTAAATGAATAATCTGGCACATCCAATCAGTGTGCACATGGTAAACATCTGGTACGTCGAGGTATATTTAGCTTATGCCTCTTCTTTGTAAATCATTTTACTACATTTTAATTAATTAGTTAATGTTTAGGTTATTCAAATTCAGAGCTTATCACTTATATTTACTTTGTATGTGAATGTTTCATTTACATGATTGGCGATCTGACCCTACTTCACCACGACGCCTCCCACCCACACATACAGTATAATATTGCATGTACTGTTAAATGACAATCAAATAGTGACTATTATTAGACACACAATGTTCCAACAATATTGCAGCTTTAATAGATCACTGCAGCAGCTAACATCATTATTCCCTCTGAGGACTCCAGTCTGTCCCCCTCTCTCTCTCTCTCTCTCAAACTGAGCGATTGGCCCAGATCGACACACGCAGCTCTTTGTATATACTAACCAATAGTACAGTTGGAGGTGATTCTCCTCCTCTTGGGGTTGTGGCGGAGCAGCTCCAGCTCCCTCTTGGTGGGCTCCCACGTTGAGTATTTCTCCCCTATGCCTGAAGCACACAACGCACATTCAAATGATCGCATGCTTCCCTCTTCTAGTTTTAGGAAAGACATTGCCAAGATCTAGATAATAATGTCTAAAATGACTGTGATAAAACATTTCAATTCCATGTTTTGAGTGTAGTTTCACAATTTGTTAAAGTTTTAAAAGGGAGACGTCATACAACTTTAGCGTGTTGTGTATGCCACTGTGTGTGTGTTAAACGCGGTCTTACCTTGTATTTTCCAGGCTTTCCTCTGTTCCTCTTTGGCAATCTGTTCCATGTCTTTGTCATAAATGTAGTCTTGGCACATAAAACAGTAAATTCCTCCGTACAGCAGGTCAATAGCTGGAAAGAAAAAAGAAAAAGAAAAATCCACAATGCATGAGAAAGCTGTTTTATTCAAATGCAGGGACATTCACTTTAACTGTTAGTCAGAGGGTGAAAAAGCTCTGTGCGTCGCTGCGAGCTGTGTGAACTGCTAACTGCTTCATCTCGCAGTCTTTTTCTATTCAGGCCACGTTGCCATGGAGCTGTGATGCCAGGTAGCCGGGCTTATCTGCTGACATATCAGCTATCTGTTAACACCATCCAGGAACAACGGAGAGACACCTCGTGAGCCGGAGAGAGCAATGAGAAGTCAAAAGGTGAGGAGGGAGGGAGGGAGGGAGGCGCCTATCTCACTGTGCAATCTTTCACCGTCACATGCTCACTTAAATGTTCAAAACAGTCCTTCCACTCCCTCTCTTCCTCACCTGCTCTGTACCCTGCAGCTACCTGTTTGCTGTTGCCATGACAACCTGCCTGCCGGTTACTCCCGCGCTGTCATCCTCTGCAGGTATGAAAGGGGAAAAGAAAAAAAAGCAGCAGGAGGACAGGATGGAGGTAGGGAAGGGAAGGAAGTACACTGAAGTACAGAACTTCGCTGGACTGATGACAGAGAGAGAGAGAAAAAAAGAAAGACAGCGAGAAAAATCGAGGCTGATGGCAGAAGTGCAATTAAATGAAATGCCTTTTACAATTCTGAATATCGAAAGGGTCATCAGGTAACCATGGGAACAAGAGGAGGGCAAAAGAGACGAGGATAGAGACAGAGGTGAGCCCGATGCGAGGCTGCAAACAGCACTGACTCAATAGCTGTGAGTGAAAATGCATACAACGGTTGGATGAAAGAGATGGAGCAGCAAGAAAGAAAGGAGGAGGAGAAGCAGGAAGGAGGAGGGGCCGTGGTTTTAATGGAGGCTAATTCCACAGGGTTTGTTAAAGACGACTTAATTACCTCCTCATCAGTCTGCTGAGATCTGTCCCTTTTAAAAAAGACTCTTTTCTCTCTCTCCCCGTATTACGCTGTTTCTCGCTCTATCTTTTTGCAGCATTTGATTCAGGAGCTAACCTAATTAAACTCACAATTACACTCAGTAGGAAACACACACACGCAAACACAGACACCAGAGGGGGGTCTTCCTGAGCTCAGCGATAACGCCGAGCAAAGGAGGCTTCATAACAACAAACTGGCAGATTCTCAACATCTGCCAAACCCAGCCTTTTGTCATGGACACCCCTAGTATCTCTGCTGCGGCACCGTTCTGCTCCAAACACACCGCAGTGTAACAGGCTTCACTTGCGCAGCTCAAACAGCCTAAATTCTATTATGTGGGGAATAAAAAATAAAAAAAAGCTACTGGGTATAAAGCTGGTATCGCAGCATTTAGTGTAACAGGATGATGGCTTGTGTTGAATATAATATGCTGTTTGCAGTATCTTTTCAACATTGCCTCTGAAGTCTTTTTTTTTTTATTGTTTATCGTTTTATTGTTAAACAATAAAAGGTTGTAGAAATGTCTGCATACATGTTGGTACACTACAGCTCCATGCAGCTTCACCCTCAAAAACAATGCCCCTGTTCCAAAGCTGCCCAGTGCTAAACGTTTTGGCATTTAGTTTTAATTTAAAGTACTGAAAAAAATCGTATCGCAATATTGTATGCATAAGGTGGTGTGTTTTTATACTAAGACCTAAAATTTTGTTTATTAAAATCGCCATATATCACAATATTTTGAATCGTAACCCATGTATTGTGGTACGTATCGTATCGCCAGATTCTTGCCAATAAACTGCCAATATCATTTTTAGGAAAACAGCACACCAACATATGCATAAAAGCTGAGTAGCTTTTTTTAATTTTTTTTTTTAATGCAACCAGAACAGTGGGATCTGCATTTGTATGATCACAGTCAGAACATCATAGTCCTCAGTTTATGTTAACAACACTGATATCTAGCGGTTGGGGGTCTGAATACAAAAAGCGATCAAGTTTTTGGGAATCAATACAACATCACAAAATAAAATATTGCGATATGACATTTTCAATACTTTCTTACAGCCCCAATATTGAACCATAATCCCTGTATCGTGATACGTCTCATATCGCCAGGTTCTTGCCGATACCCAGCCTTCCCCTTAAATCATTTCACACATAGTGACTCTGATTCTGTGTTACATTGTTACAAATGTTGGCACTACATTTTTAAATATTTTCTTACACACTTATTCGAGTGTGTGCTGGTGTGACCTCCATGTAATGGATATTACAACAGAGGACAAACTTGGAGCAAACTAAGCTATATGTAATATGTACATTACTTTAAGGCTGGCATGTACATCGAAAGCAATATAGCTGTAATAAGCTAATATCGGCTAATACATGGACCCGGCTGATTTATCGCTCTAGCTCTATTTAGAGGTTGCAGTGCACCATCTACTTAAGTGAAATAAATGGCTATCCTTGACTTTTCTTCACCCCTGCAGGGGCAAAGAAGCCTCGGGAGCTGCTTATGTGTGGTGACTTTCTTTTATACAAGCCTAATCCCACTCTTATTTTGTAGTTGGCTATGTATATGCTATATGTATCTGAGAGCTCAATTCTGTATATGGAAGCAGTGTACCTATGTAAAACTGACTCACAAAATAGAGCTGGGTGATGATTCAGCATTGACTTTAAGTGTAATCATGTTGTGATGATGTGATTGAGTTGTGTTGCACATACTTGCAAAATCCTGACATAAAGAACAATGATAATAATAATAATAAAGGAAAATAATGAATATGAGATAAAATGACTATGGGAGATTGTGCAGCAACATTTTAATACATCTCTCTCTCTCTCTCTCTCTCTCTCATATCATCATAACACCAACTAAGAGGAATATCTTCCCCCCAGTAGAGTTCCAGAGACTTGAAGAATCTATGTCAAGGAGCATCAAAGCTGTTCTGGAGGCTCGCTTCACATTCAGCAGTTGTTTAACTGGGTGGGATCAGGTAATACACAGCAATTTTCTCTGCAATAATTCAGTGATTTGTGTGCTGTGTTTTGATTACAACAGGCTGTGTGTCCCTGTGGGAGTAGCATAGATGGGGAAAAACAGCCAACTGTTCTTGGTGTTCAGCAAACACCCACGTCTTTTGTTCAAATCTGGAGCCGTCCAGATTGCGTCTGTTTGATGCAAATATTTAATTCAGTGAAGTGAGATGCAACTTTTTTTTCCCCATTTCTCACCACGAGCGCTCGCCAACAAAGCGACCTCGGTGTGAGCTGTGGTGAGAAGCACAGTGCTTTTCTGAAAATAGAAGCCCTCTCAGTCATTTTTAAAAAGGAAAAACATTTCAACAAATCCAATGTGGATTATCGCTGAGATCACTGACGTGCGATGTTGTATGTTACCTTCGCTGACCTGGAATAATAATCCTGTCAAAACAAGGCAGAGGCAAATCTCCTGTTGGGTGTTCTACCCCATAAACACACACACCCCTGAATGTTTTAAAAGGTTTTTTTCTGGAGCAAGCTGATTGTTAAACAGGGATGTGCACCCAATAAAGTAGATTCTTAGGTGCATAATTTTAAATCAGCCAACACAGACCCCAGTCCTTATTCATTAGCAAGTTCACTAATGCATATATTCCCTCTAATGGGCTACATGAGGCCAAATACACAGGTGACATTCAAATCCCCCACGAGGCCAAGCTTGTGCGGCAATTATGTTGCACCGGGTTGCGTAATAGCTCGCTGTGTCCCTCGATCAGTTTGCTTGATTAAATGCATCACAAAGCCTCAAATAGTCCAATACGTAACTCAAAGCTGACCTTTAATACACCAGACACACACAGACACACACACACAGACACACACACACACACACACACACACACGCACGCACACACACACACACGCTCTTGTGTTTACGAACCACCAGCGCTTTATGAAATCACACCCGGCTACGTCTTCATTAGCCACTCGGCTGTATAATTAGCCCTTTTAGCAGCCTTTGTTTTGAGACAGGAAGCGTTACCGATGGCGATGTGTGGGGGTGTGTGTGTTTGTATGCATGAGATATATGCCGCGAGTGCGTGCGTGTTTAGGAGGCAGGGAACAACTCATTTAAGCAAAGGGGGCTAATTACAGGTCTGGATGCCAAGTGTCACACCCTGTGCATAGCTGGAGTGTCAAAACAACCCGTCTCCAGCTGCACCTGTGGACACTGTGAACGCCTTTGTGTATGAAAATGAGAGAGTATGTGTGTGTGTGTGTTTGTGTATGCCATACCTAGGTTATGCCTTTTGCTCTTGGCATGTTCGTGGATGTGTTTTTTGGCAAAGCAGGCGAAGAAGACGCAGTAGAGGCAGGAGTGGAGTCTGTTGAGGTGGGCGCCGCACATGTGGCAGATACATGACTTGGCCTAGAAGACAGAGAAAATGATTAACACAATTGTTGCACCAACAGACACACATTTGCAACATCAGTACATTTGGTTCCATCAAGATCCTTTCAGGAAAAAGCTTTAAAGCTGTACTTATTAATATTCTTATAACAACAGATCAAATGACTACGTATAATGTGAATGGTGTCGCTTGCAAAAACGCACTGAGAATTCCCCTCAGCTCTGTTGAGTGTTTTAGCGTCTTTCAGCTCAGTTTTTTTTTGATTCTCCAACCTGCAGCAATCAAAGTGAAACACGCATCTTTATCTTCTCTAATGTGACACATTTCCAAATAAGACCGAGCTATATGGGCAGAGTTTTGTGAAAAAAGGGGGGATTTGAATCATTTCCTTCAGATTTGATTGCATCACTCCAAAGTGAGCAACAGCAAATACTGTGGAGTGGTACAAAGGGTCAGCAGGAACGCTAATGTTGCTCTGTGTCTACTGGATATGTAATAAATATGTAGAATGTTTGCTAAAATGTACGCCATAATTGTGGCCCGATAAAACCGATTACTGTTATATTCTTTAGTTTGTTTATTCTTTCACTGTCACCTAATATTGGTCCAAAAAACATAATAAATAAATTGTACATTATTTTTCAAATGAAATATTTCATTATTATTTCATCATGTGGTAATGACCATACAAGCGCAGCAGGCGTACTACAGTACCGTAGATCTCTCCAGTACATGGGTGTGACAGCAGGTCTGACACGCTTAAGTAAACACATTTTGCTTTTGACATTTCCAAATGTCAAATGTCCCTCTTGAACCACTTTGCAATGAAATGTAATCATTTGTTAGGGCCACACTTGACATGGCTTTTTCAATTATAATTTTTTTATGAAAAAAAAAAAAAAAAAAAAAAACATCCCACAAAGCCTTTCTTCAACCTCTGGTGCCTCGTGCAGAATCACAATAGGTGACTGGAAAGGAATCCAACAGGGACATTTTTCTGTGTGTGTGTGTGTGTGTGTGTACGTGAGAGAAAAACCCTTTGCCTTAATATATATATATATATATATATTTTTTTTATATATATATATTAATACAATCATACATATTCTGTTTGATAGTCACGTTGGAGAGACGAGGGAGGAGGGCACGACTGTGGATGGAGGGTAGATAGCAACAGTTCAAAAGCATGCAGATGAGAAGCTGGCATGCCGATGAGCCAGCATGAATATGAGGAGGTGAGAAGAAATGAGCAATGCCTGAAGGGAGCGAGGAGGGAAAATTAGACTAAAATGCACACTTCAGTCACCTGCAAAGCACATCAACCTGTATGTGAGTGCAATAGTTAATAGAAAGAGATTGGAATAGGACTTGGTCTGTCTGAAGGAGGATTGCAGAGGTCAAAACTGAAGTGTGGTGTCACTCTACCACCTCTCGAACCGAATCCCAGTCCACTGTTGGTGGATGGAAAACTCATGCAAACAGTGAAAAACCTTTACAGGATGACTGAACCCGAAATAAATGACGTCAAAGTCTGTGAAATAGATTCTACAAAACACAAAGAGCGTTGGGAACATTTTAAAAAGGGAACTGAGCAAAGCATTTCAGTGACTGCTGTTCTGCTACATTGCCTAGCGCCTGTGCCAACACATTTTGTATACCGTCAGCTAATGTTGCATGAGAATGTTTAAGGTGGAAAGACAGCTACAGCAGGATCTGATGCATCATTGCTACAGTCTTTTGTCCGTAAAATGTCCCAGAGCTGTCGTTTGTTGTTCTGCGAAACAATATTCATCAATTATTAAAAGCTGCTGGTTCATTTTCTTTTCTTTTTTTAAATACATTTTTGAGCTTAAATCTCAAAGGTTTTAAAAAGTATAATAAACGTGTATACCACCTAATACATTTTGTTTTTAAAAAAAAAAAAAAGACTTTGACAATTTGGGCAATACTCTTATTTGCTTTCTTCCGAGAGTTAAATGTTCAAGTTTAACACCAATCCCAAGTGTGTCCATTAAATATGAAGCTACGGCCAGCAGCTAGTTAGCTTAGCATAAAGACTGGAAACAAGGTGAAACAGCTAGCTTGGCTCAGTCCAAAAGGTAATCAAATCTGTCTACCTAAGCTGGCTAATTAACGCTTTAAATCTTAAAACTCTCTCGAGTGTTCCTGCTAAGCTAATGGTCCCCTGGCTGTAGCTTCATATTTTACCAGACAGACATGAGAGTGGTATAGATTTTCTCATCTAACTCTCAGCAAGAAAGCAAAATACCATATTGTGTATTTTCCCATAGAGATGTTCTAACTCTATTTTTTCCTTGTCGATACTACAAACCGATTCCATACAATATATATTATTACTTTTTAACAGCTGTGTACCACTAACCCTTTTTGATTGCTGTCATTGCTGTACGGCCTAGCTCAGGTTAAACCCTTTATTAAACATGAACAAATACATATAGAGAATGAATAACATACACTAACCGGAAATCTGAATCATCTTCTTTGCTATGAAACAGAAGTTATTCTGACCCTGACTGGCTAATACTCGTTGCCTTTGTTGGTTTGTTTGGTCAGGTATAGGCATGAGGAGTGAGATTGGTTAGGGCTGGAGTAAGAGTATCAGGCTAAACCAATCAGAGTCAGAGCACGGTGGGTCATGATTTCGCCGTCCTGGGGGAAAAAACTATGGGAGCGCTGATGGGAAGCAGCAGGATCCCATTTCGGGGAAAATAAATGATGTGATATCTGATTGGTGCATAGACTCATAGTCAGATCTTTACACGTTTAAAATGTATTACTGATTATTTTATGCCTGGCATACCAGCCTAAAACAAAATGGAAAAACAAAAACACAAAAAAAAAAAAAAAAAAAAAAAAAACCACAGATTGTTATTCAAGTCACACACACCCCTCCATGCATAAGTGCATAGACAGCACATGAATTATGAAAAGGCATCAATATGCAACAATCTCTCCTCACTCATTCCGTCAGTGTTACAGTACGCATGTGTATTTTTCTGGTCCCTGAGAACACTGTATTCATGTAGGAAACTGTGTCTGCCTGTCTGTCAACACATCCTTACATCCTCTACTGTCATGCCAGCAAGAGTCTGAATACACATACGGAGCATTTAAGGATATGCAGCAGTTCTGCTTTAGCACAACGTCCATGCACTAACTAAGAGTCCGCGCTCAGCGAGACACCCAGACAACACCCCGAGTTCTGTTCATGTCGTATGTCTCTGAGCGCTGCGATGTTAGTGAGGAAGAAGCGCAGGAGAGGGCAATGGGCTGGAAAGATCCCGGTTATAAGTGTGAGTTAGCACATTATCACATTTTGAGCTCAACGCAACATCTGTCTTGTCTATTGAAGGGAAAGGCCTGCATCTAGAGGAGGAGTCTAGATAGCTGAATTGAAGGACTATTCCCTCCAAAAAAAAAAAAAAAAGGCATGATATCAAACACTGTATAGTAAATAAGACAAAAAGTGTAGGGAACGTTAAAAAGACAAGAGGGACAACAAAAATAGCCTCTCAGTGCCTCTCTCAGTGTTTGCTGTTACGTTAATGAAGAGGACTGATGAAATTACAATACGTGATTACCTTAAGTGCTATAACTGAGGTCCTATTTACATTTAAGGTAGTGCCACTGAACTAATGTGAAATATTTCATAGTCCTTCTGTCTTTTTGCCACCAGCTTTGAGTTTATAAGCTACTGGACCACTTTCCCAATAACTGCATTTTGTTATGTTGAAGTGAGAGGAAGCAGCAACTCAGAGTCGCACCTGGCCTGACTCAGAGGATTTAGCAGGTCTTTGGTCTTAGTTAGTTTGAGGGCTTGGTGCACATATAGACATATACAGCTTCTCCTGGCCGATTAAGTGTGGTTGTTTGTAAATTAAACATGAAGATGGGTAATTATTTACCTGTGGTGTACTTTAATGTACAGAGAGAGACTGCATTATCCGGCAAGGCTCCAGTTACTATCTTCGGGAAAAATAAGTTTGTTTTATGGTAGACTGGTAAAATCCAAAGCACCTGTCATTCAGATGGGATTAGACACTTCTGTGATTGACACTGTGGCCAACCAAAGAGTGCAGCCTTTGAATTCTCAAGGTGAACCAACGCTTAAAATTCAATCTGCGACAGAAGGTCAGTGGACTGCCTGCTGCAGACTGAATGTTGATCGTGGCAATCTGAGGCTGACACGGTCAGCGTGGAGCGCAGAGGGAATGATGGAAGAGCTGTCTGATATGTAACTGAGCCACGATCAATAAAAATGTAGTGCCACGGGGGGAGGTAATACGCAGCAGGGATGTGAGCCCTGCTGTCAGCCTTGTCTGCTCTTTGGGGTAGGGTGGGGGCAGGGACAGAGAGCCAGGCAATTACAGCAGGAAGAAACCCTGCAAATATTTACACCATTTATTTCAGTAAACATGCCTCCTGGAACTACCAGCTCCCACTGATCCCAAGCAGATGACGGGGGACATGGGGTTGTCCCAGAGCACATTCAAGTGCAGGATGCATGCTAGATAAGCACACTCACACACTGCAGATGCAAGCACTACATGCTAATATTGTGAACATCTACTCTGCACCCACAGTAGTGAATCTTTAAAATAAATAAAAGATCCTCTCTTAAGAACGTAAACAGACAAGCTGAACCCCATGTGAAAGAGAGGCTGGATGTTGACACACATGCTATTGCTTTTCCCAGTTAAACCTTGTTGATCCTGTCATGCAGTGCAAAGATAGAAACGATGCGCCTCTGTCATTATGGCTTGGGGTTTGCACGATCATTTGGTATAAGTGGTTTTAAGGGGGGGGGATTCACGACTTCTTAGCAGATTTTAAATCAATAATTACCCCCCCCTTAAGCCAGGAAATACCACCGTGCAATGCTGGCCTGCAGTCTGCTAGTGGAAGGAAGTCGAGCCACTGTAGGCGCAGAGCCAAAGCAAACAGATGCACATCAGCTCTCTAATCTAGTATGCGGTGTGCAGCTTTGAAGTAAGCTAACGTTCGGCGGCGCGGGGTTAACTGGGTGGTGTAGTTGGTAGTTTGCTTCAGTTTGGGGCTGTGTGTCAGGTTGTTGAGGTCGGCTTTAGGGGCTAGTTCGAGCACGAAAAACAAGACTGAGCGTGGGTAGTATTTGACTGAGAGCAAACAGTTGTGAGTGTGTGAATGTGTGTCGGATGTTGTGTTGAAGGGCGGGGAACTGTCCACGCACGCGACCGTAGCTCACTCAAACACACACACACACACACACACAGACACAGACACAGACACACAGACAGACAGACAGACGTACGTTAGGGTCCCTTCTAAGCAGCCGTTTCCTTCTGTCACTTGTTACCTTGCGTTTTCTGGTCTCGGCTGAACCGCTCCACACGAAACACTGATAAATAACCCTCAGGTTCTGCTTCCAGTTGTCCACTTTGAAGCTGTTGACATGAGGGCAGCCTGCGGGACTCATGGTAGTCACAGCATCCGGCTTTACAGTCCTCTTGGGCGATAAAAACCTGTTCAAATCCCTCAAGACAGACCCAGTCCAAACGGGCTGGCTGGTTAGCTCGCCAGGGTCGTTATCCGCCGATTGCTGCGCTCGGGCTAACTGGACATGTCCTGGTTGCACTAACGGAGACACGCGCAGTAGCAAACATCAAGACGAATGTTCCAGTATGACCCTATCGGACGTGAAATAATATGTATGCATTTGAATCCAATTTGGCGCTGTATATATTTATATATAGGTCTTCACATTCGCTAAATTACATGTTAGCAAGCTGGCTAAAGTTGGTTAGCACTGGAATTTCAACAGTAGCTTACACGGTGAGTGTCGTTAAGACCCACCTCATTCATAACGGTGGGCCAATGAGGGGCGAGTGCTGCGCATGATTGGCGTGTGACAACTTTCTTTTTCCCAGTTAAGTCCCGCCTCTATGGAGTGGGTGCTGCGTCGTGATTGGTGCAGTTTCCCTGCAAACCACATCCGCCTGTATGAGGCCGTTCATTGGCTAAGGCATAAATCAGCTTCATTGTATTAGGCAAGAATGTTACAATGTGACAATCAAGAGTGGATGGAGATTCAAATCCACCTTACAGTACACGTAGAACCAAATGGATGAGAATCTTTTCACAAAGCCATGAAACCCAGAACTATATTCTTAAACAATTTATTATTAACAGATCCACAATCGCAAAGCTCAAGCTCCCAAATGACATGACAGTTTGGTTTCATCTGTTGACTTCACCTCTTGTAATAACAAGCTGTCAAAACGGTTTTCTATACAGTGCTCTAGCGACCTCTAGTGGATCCGACCTAAAAAAACAAAAGAAAAAAAACAAAAACAAAAAACAAAAAAAACAAAACAGTGCACCAGATTGTGAACGACTCCTCCATTGTGCCGAGTTTGGTCAAGGGCATGTCCAGATGAAGATTTGTACAGATTTGCTATTGATGATATCTACATTCTAACCAAAAGGAGTGAGAGGGAAACGATCATTGCAGTCTTTACAAATAGAATATATCAGATTTATTCCTCGTCAGCCATAGATGTTTCTCGTATGTAATGCCCTCTTGTTACGGCCATCATGCAGCAGAACCAAAACAAACAGTGAGAATATTCACACATATGTTTGGAACAAATAAGTCCAGTTTTTATTATTGTGGTTTCTGTTAATGTAGCAGTGGCGCTCCAACCTGAACATTGATAAATAAAACACTGACAAAATTGTAATCTTTTTTCCTTTTCTGTAAGGATCTTTTGTTATCCTTAAGACACTGTGAAGAAAGAATAACCAAATTTATCATCATTCCACACAATTAGATTTTCCTTGACCAATGTCCTTATGCAATAGAATGTTTGTTTTCCTCTTTAAAAAAAATCCAACTCATCCTGGGAAGAACGTGTTGGGCGGCTGCAGCGTTCTCTCCCTGTCCAAGGCCCCTCAGGAATAACTTGATGTTTTGCTACCAACATCGTCCTCCTGCGATCCCATACTCTGAAAGAAAAGAAAACAACAAAGTCACATGTAGAGAATGTTACCTGTTAGACAATAGATCAAATAACTGGTTTAAAAACCAGTTCCTGCTGCACTTCCATTAACAATAGCTGTTTTCTCTTGGAACTAAACAAGGGCCTTTTCCAGGAATCAGGTTTACGACTGAATTATCTGGATAGCTTTCCTGGGAATACCCAGAACTGGTCCTTCTACATTGGTCCATGTTCTAGATTTGAGGACTTTTCAGATTTTACTCCGAAAAACTATCCACTCAATAAACCTGCTTTCCAGTTTTTAATTGTTGTGTTATGTGCAGTGTTTATGCACTTGTAACACCTAGATACAATACCAATAAGGGCATGTTTTATAAAACTGTGGTTATATTTTTAACATTAGCTACCCGTAGTACTGTTGTATTTACCTTTAAATATTCCATAGGTCATTTATTCTTATTTTTCTTACTTATATCTTATTATTTTTTCCACAATATATAAAGCTTCTGAATTAATACAAGTAAATGTAGCACTGACACACAAGACACATTTACTTTACACAAGTAAAGATTTGTTGCACTTCCACAAAGCAACATACATTCATGCATATGGAAAAAAAATATCCAAATAAAAGACATTTCTGTATTTGGCTGTGTTAAATGTTGTCTCACCTTCTGCACAAATTGTGGGTTTACTGTGATTTCTTGATCCATAGACTTTAGTTTCTCATCCAGCTCTATACATTTCAACATCTAAAAGAAGAACATGATATAGCTTCACGTTAAAAGTAGTTAACGCCGAACAAACTACTGGGATTCACACACAGCATTATGATAAGCCAGCACTGAAAATAGAGTTGGACATCCTCACCTCTTGGTCAATTTTGTGGAGCATTGCTGGGTTGTTGTATTTTTCGGGGTTGTCGTGGAAGCAGACCATGCCATCCTTTTGGTTAATGCTAGCGTAGATCTCACCATCTTCAATCTGCACAGACGCATGAGGAAGAGCATGATGAAAATGAAACAGAATATTTCTAGTGCTGCTCAATAGTAAACTGTTGTTTGAATTACATTACAATAACAAAACTGCTTAATCAGCCAAACATCTTGCCTTAAAGTGCAAGGTGAGGCTATGAACGGTCTACATAAAAAGTAAAGCAGATATAATTCTGAATACTCTACAACTACTTCTGTTGAGAAACAAATACATATGCAGTATCATATTACACATACTTTATGTGCAGTGATTAAAACATTTCAATTGATTTCAAGTGTGTGGATGACATGTTGGACTGGCTTTGCATGTCGAGTCTGTCCGGACCAGCTCACCATGTGTAAGACGTATTTCTCTGCTTCCTGGGGGCCTGACAGCTGAACTCGACTTGCCATGTCTTGCAAAGACAGCGTCAGGAAGGTCTGCAGGAGGCCGATAAAAGAGAAACTGATATTAAAAGAGATAAGACTGAAAGATCTGCTGGACCTTTTGAGTGTAAAGTGGTACAGCTACTTTTCTATGGTTGGACATTCGTTGGATCTTACACTATTACAAATAAAAGCAGCCAAGAACTTGTAACCAAGGCACATTGTTTATTGTTATGTTCCTCTAACGTCAGCCTGTGATTGATTTGATGGAGAAATATATTGTGATAATTTTGACCAAACATCTCAGTACAATAATATGTAGGTAGGTGGCTATATTTATCTATTTCAGGAGACAAAACAGGTGGAGTCGTTATTATTCATTTCACACAGAACAGTCAAACCGGCTCAGAACATTACACCAGCTGACTGTGGCAAAGGCTGTAAGAGCTATGATATAAAGATAGCCAAAATACTACAATACGTCTCCTACCATGTTATGACATAGTGTTATGTCACCGTGTTCTAGCTGAAGACAGCGAGCTCTTGTTTCCTTTCTGTTTTTCTCATCTTTCCAGGCACATTAGTGACAGCTGGCTATCAGATGTCTACATCTGACTTCACTGACCCATGTTTCTGGGGTGTTTTCTGTCATTTTGATTACTGTCACTTTCAATGATGTGCGGCAAAGTTGTTGCGGAGGAGGACTGAGACACATTTCCAGATGCCTCAGATCATTTAATAAAAATGTACTCTTCTAACTTGACCAGATAAACTAAACTAATTTAAACTAGTACATATTTCAGAATTTGTCTAAGCCCACTTTAAACCAATGCTTAATTAAAATACGCTTTTGCTTAATTTTTTATGGTCTTCGACTTAAATTTAATCTTTAACCTAAGTCAAAACACAGCCGTATTACACAGTATATTTCAACTAGAGCTGCACGGGAAGAAGCCAGGTTTTGAGGAACTTCACTCACTATTTTGTGACACCTGGCTCGGTTTAGTATAGAAACCCACCTTTGTTAACCTCTGGATGTTCTTCTTGTAGAGGGAGGAGAGGCACTGTTTGACCAGGCCTGTGTTGCTGTCTCGTGCGAAGGTCTCGCTGTGTTTGTTGACCAGGATGCGGAGCTCGGCCGGGTTGTTGGTGGTGTAAACCTGAGCTAACTCGTGGTATGCGTTGCTCAGGGGCTAAAGGTGGCAAAAAGAGACAAAACCAATCACTTAATGGCACAACAGATCATAAAATTGTGTGAGTAGACCTTTACTGGTTTTTACAAAGTGTTCACAAGTCAGCGGAGTCCCTTCATTTCCTTCAGAGCTGAATGGAAATTGGCAGATGTAGGGAAACTGTGTAGAAGTTTATAGCAAAAACAAGTTGCCCACTGCATACATTTCTGACAGTCATGGCTGTTAACAGATAGTCAAATTTCTGCAGGTGTTTATTTCCCTTATGATTCCATTTTATTAACAATAGCTCTACATATAAGTGCAAACTGGAGAAGCTAGAAACAGCCAGTCTAGGCTGTTTACAGCTAGTTAACTATGCACTTTGGACTCTGTCATAACAGTGACTGATTAACTACAGCAAAATAGACGGGTAATTGATAATGAAAATAAACATAGCTGCTGCCCTATTTGACTATAATGCTAGATAAACAGCTATGAATGATGGCACAACCTTTAGGGTGTTTGGGGGTCTATATTTTCAAAGCAACATTATGATCAAAAGGTGCAATTTAAACACCATCTGGCAGGACAGTAGCTCCAATCCTTGTGACCATCGTCATAGATGGAGTTTTGTATGTTCGTATATTAAACAAGTTATAAATGTTATGTATTATTGCACTGCAATCCCGTTACATTTTGTCTTACATTATTTAACCAGCTAAAGTGAGTGCTTGTTTTCAGTATAATAAAAAGCGACACAGCCAGCTGCCACAGATCAGTATTTGACTTCTAATATAGGGGATAGGAGGTGGACCCAATACTTAGTATTTGACAATGTTAAAATGTATATACACTCAGTGTATTGCCAGTTTATCAGGTACACACAGCTATAGCTAATGTGGTCTAATACAACAGCCCTGCAGTAAATCCTGCCTTCATGAAGGTTCTAATGTTCAGTTTGTATTGAAAGGTTTTAGAGAGGTAGTTTTAGGTAGGTGTACCTAATAAACTGAGCTTCTGCAAATTCTGTTAACCACAGGTGGACAGAATGAGCAACATTTCTTGACCGGCTTCATCTGCTTTATCTGATCTAACAGTTATAATGAGCATGAGTTGAAAGTCGGGTAAATGTCTGCAAATGTAAATGTTACAGCTGTAACGAAAGAGCAAAGCGGTAATACAATTCATTCCATACACGTGATTTATCCTTACCTTGATGAACCTCCCTACTATTTGTGAGGTGTATTTGGGCAGGGGCTGCACTTTGCCATGGAGAATGAGTGACACCAGGATGTATTTCTTATAGGCTTCCAACATGATGTGGCTCACTG